CAGCCCTTGCCGTCCGTCGTCTGCTCATGCCGCCTCTGTAAACGTCGCGGTCGTCGGCCGTTTTAATGTCTTGAAACTTCCTGCCATCTTGGCCGCTCGCCGGAAAATCACAGGTGAACGTCGGCGGCGAATGAAAGGCCAATGTCAGCTGACAAAGACCAATGTGATTTTGGCCAAATATATCAGTTGTTATATGACTTGTGTTGTTTGAGTTTTGGGGTTATTTGTGTGAGAATTTGATTTAATTGAAGGGCCTAATTTCAATTTATAAAATTTTATTTTATTTCAATTGAGTACAATTGACAAATTGGTAATATAATAAGAGTTTAATACATACACAATAATGCATAGAATGCACTATATTGATATTTTTATATTTCATATTTGTATAAAAATAATAATAATAATAATAATAATAATAATAATAATAATAATAATAGTAATTTTAATATAGTTTGGTTTTTTATTTTAGTTAATTAAATAAAAAAAATGTCATCATATCAAAAAATACTCGATAATAAAATAGTAGTAATAACAATCGAAACAAAATATAAATTTTCATACTGAATTTATGTTCGTAGGATCTCGTTCGATTTTGTGCAATATGATAGACGTTTATATGCAATTAGTATAATCATTATGTGCATTCGCAATACATATAAGAATATATAAAAATTTTGTAAAAGTTTTTATATAAAAATATAAATAAAAAAGAATTGGTAATATTTTTCATATAGTTCGCCATGTTCAATTATTTTATTTATTTAAAAGACTAAATTCGACATCCAATTAATTTATTCGACCGATTAGCAGAACTACCGTATTTTTTTGGTACGCTTAGTGTGTTGTTTTATAAGTTGTAACATGTCGTGTTATAAAGTGCAATGTATTTCAGTATACAGTGCAACATATTGATGTATAAAGTGCAATTATGTAGATATGTTTTTTAGATTTATATTAAAATGTCTTTTTATTTACTATTTTTAATTATGTATTTTACTCATTACTGTAAAATATTTTTATGCTATTTAATATTTATCATTATTGTTATTTAATCATTATTATTATTTAATACTTTATTTATCATTTACTCTTATTTTTAGATTTATACCGCGTAATATTTTTGGAGAGAGTCGTTGACGTTAACTATGTTGATAAAGTGCAACGTGACATCTTGTAAAGTGCAATGATTTGTTTTATAAAGTGCAACATTACGTTATATAAATTGCACTAATCTATACCTTCCCATATAAATAATGTGCATTCAAAAACTACTTAATAACTATAATTGTACATTGGAATAACTTAAATAATTAAATATATTTTATTTATTTTGTTATTATAGAATTTATTTATTAGTATAAAACAATTTTATATTATTTTAATATTTTTATATTATCTTTATTTTTATAATTTATTTATTGTTTAATATATGCACAACAAAATATATAAGAAACAATTTTTTCTTAACTTTAAATAAAATTGTAGCTTGTCGTTTTATATTAACTTTAAACAATTTTTTATTCATAAAATGTAGCTTGTCTTTTTATAAAATGTAACGTGTCGTTTATAAGGTGCAATGTGTTGTGTTATAAAGTGCAACGAGTTGTCTTATAAAGTGCATTACATGCTTTTTTATGTGCGCATACAAACTAAAATTAAACCGAAATAATTGAGTCATTAGTTAATTAAATGAAAACCCTAAATAAATTTTACTACTTTATTATTTATATTATAAAAATATAACTAGTATTTTTATATTTTTATTTAATACTTTATAATATTTTTGGTTGAGAACATAAATGAAATTAACCTAAATAATTTAATTAGAAAAGCATGAATAGTTTAATTAATTTATTATGTATATTATAAAATATATCTAGCATTTTAATATTTTTATATGTATTTTTGCTGAAAATGAACAATATATATATTTGTATAAAACAAATGTTCAAAATAATCATATTGTTTACATATATTTTCATAAGTTT